ACTAAGATTGGGCCAGCTATGTGGCTCAGTCACCCAAAAATAATAATACAAACAAAACACTAAACTACGAAACTATCCTTATCCCAGACTTTTCTATGGCAACTTTGACTGACACTGTTTCAAAAGATGGAATACACTAATGACAGCCCCATCCTTATGACAGAGAAGGAAATTTCAAGGAGGCAGTTGAAAACATGAGAGATCTCTTAAGGCCTAGGCTGAACTTGCACATTGTCATTTTCATCCACATTCCATTGGCCAAAGCAAACTGCTTGGCCACATCTAATATCAACAAAGTAGAGAGTATCAATCAGTCCTAACTGGGGGAGAGACTGAGTCATTGCATAGTAATCTAATTTGCTGCAAGATTTGTCATACTGCACCCCAATGTTCATAGTGGTACTATTTAGCCAAGAAATGGGAGCAACCTAAGTATCAATAGACAGATAAGAAAGATATGGCATACATACATATACATATATACACAATGGAATATTAGTCCACCATAAAAGAATGGAATATTGCCATTTGCAGCAACATGAATGGACATAGAGATTAACATACTAAGTGAAATAAGTTAGAAAAAGATAAATATTATATGATATCACTTATATGTGGAAATGGAAAATAACACAAACTTATTTACAAAATAGATCCACAGACATAAAAAACAAACTTACGGTAACCAAAGGAGAGTGGGGGAAGAAATGAATTACAAGTGAGAGATAAATGGGCTTCCCAGGTGGCACTAGTGGTACAGAACCCACCTGCCACTGCAGGAGACTTAAAAGATCCAGGTTATATCCCTGGGTTGGGAAGATACTCTGGAGGAGGGCACGGCAACCCACTCCAGTATTCTCGCCTGGAGAATTCCATGTTCAGAGAAGCCTGGCAGGCTACAGTCCATGGGGTCACAAAGAGTCAGACACGACTGAGCAACTGAGATTAACAAATGCACACTATCATACATAAAATAAACAAGGATTTACTGTGTAGCACAGGGAACTATATTCAATATCTTACAATAACATGTAGTGGAAAAGAATCTGAAAGAGAATATATATACATATATATAACTGAATCACTTTGCTGTACATGTGAAACTAACACAATGCTGTAAATCAACTATACTTCCACTAAAAAGAGAAAGAAGAAAAAAAAAAGGAAGAATCCTGAAAATAAAAGGCAATCAGTATATTATTCTAACAGGAAAAAAATACAAAAGATACATGTCATGCTATATCCTCTCCCCTTTCTTTCTTCCTTCTCTTTCTCTCTTAACAGATAAGGAAACTAAGGCTCAGAGAGGTCAAATAACTTCTCCAAGATTTACTACTAGTAAATGACAGAGCTGGAATCCAATCAAGTTGGAGTCAAGGTTACACATGCCATGTATCTGAGACCAAGATGTTTGGGCTTTCTTTGAAGGTAATGCAATGCCACTGAAAACTCTTGAGCAAGAAAGGAGCAGTCAGTATGCAGAGCACGTGGGAGAGGGAAAGAGGAGGGGCACCCTATGATAGTCACAAAATTTCAGGTCAGAATTGATAAGGGGCTGGGCTGGGGTAGTGTCAAAAAGGGAAAACAGGGACTTCCCTGGTGGTCTAGTGGTTGAGAATCCACAGGGCAATGCAGGGAACATGGGTTCAATCTCTGGTCAGGGAGGGAACTAAGATCCCACATGCCACGGAGCAACAAAGCCCGCTAGCCGCAACTACTGAAGCCCATGCACTCTGGAACCCGCACAACACAACCAGAGAGCCCGAGTGCCACAACTAAGACCTGATGCAGCCAAATAAATATTTTTTAAAAAATCAGTAAATGTAAAACCAAATAGAAAGACAGAAGAGACAAGTTAAGAACATTTTAAAATGTTTTTTTTTCTTTGCTACATGTAGAAATAAAGTTATCTTTGTTGTACAAAGAAAAAAAATCAAACAAAAAATTCACACTGTGCAGACAAAAGTATTTAAAGTAAAAGTTCCCTCCTCTTCCTTTCTTCTGAAATAAGTTTCATTAAGAGTTTATGGTAAATCTTTCCTGAACTATGTCTAAAACCACATAATACTTATCCATATACCTGTTTTTAAAAAAGTTTTTTAAATGTGTTCTCACCAAACTTTTGCCTCTAGCTTTTTATCACATACTAGTATGGCAAGATCAGTTTTCTATGTCCAGAAATCACTTTTAAGGGCTTTGGCACTTACTAGCTGTGGGATCTTGCACATGTGGCTTAACCTAAGACTTCGTGTATTTAATTTGTAGCTGCGGATAAACATGAACCTGTCACACAGAGCCATTATGAGGATTAAGTGAGTTAATACACAGAAAGCATCTTGTACACTCTGACATATTAAGAGCTCAAAACATATTAGCTCTCCCTATTAATAGATCCATGTTTAGCTATACCATAATATACTTAACCAGTTCTGTACCTATGGTCACTTAATGTGCTGTGTTGTTCACAGAGATGGTCACAATGATTCCCCCACCCCACAAACTTGACTCTGCAATATGACTCTGTTTTCTTTTCCATCAAGAGACTATTTCTAGTCTCCTTGAATCTGAGTTGGACATGTGATAGGCATTGATCAATAAAATGTAGTGAAGATGATGCTATAGCACTTCAGAGAACTTCAGAACCTAGGCCTCAAGAGGTCTTGCTGCTTTGGTTTTTTCCTTTCAGAGGCCATCATGAGGAAGCCTGAGCTAGCTTGATGAAGCCACGTGGAGAAGAACCTAGGCCCTCAAGCCAGCAGCCCCAGCCATCTGCCAGACTCATGAATGAGGCCATATATGTGTGACCAATGAGTTTGCTGACTTGCAAACTGACTGCAATGCAGCAGTAAGCCCAGGCAAAACCATGTACAGCTGAAAAGAGCTGTCCCAGCTGAGACATGTCCAAGTTGCCAATCCACACAAACATAAGCAAACAATTACTGTCATTTTAAACTACTCTGTTTAGGGATGATTTGTTAAGCAACAACAGAAAGTTGATATGCTGAGGTTCTTATGCAGTGCCTATGGCTCTGGTTGGAATATAAGCTCCATTTCTTAAGTGACCTTGGGCATGTCCTGCAACCTGACTGAACCTCAGTTCCCACGTCTGTACAATGGGATACTTTTAACTCCTACCTCACTAGGCTGATGTGAGGATAAAATGAGATGATGAACATTCAGTGTGTGGCACAGGACAAGTACTGTGAACATTTTAACTATGACTGTAGCTATTGTTATTGTTTGAAGAAAGTTTAATCTGAGAGCTGTGCTATGGAGGGACAGAGGAATTAGTATTAAAGATAACTAAGCTGTTTTGGGAGGCGCCATAACAACTGAACATTGGAGATTGAGAACTTTTTGGAATCAGAGACCTATACCAAGCTGGCCTGGAAGACAGCAGGGGTTGGGTCTCAACTGTGACCTACATAATGTGGGGGATTGTGTGTGTCTGGGTGAGCCCTCTGAATGACGTCACACATGGAGGCTGGAATTGGGTAGAAGAATGAAGAACTGAGGCTGTGGGGGCTGCTGAGATCACTGGAAAGGTCTCATGAGGGTTACACCCTGGGACTTACCCCTACGCTTTTCAGATGAAATTCCAGACTCCTAACCATGGCCTGAATGCCCTGGCCACCTTTCCCACCTTATTTCCTACTCTTCTTTCCTTTATTCCGAATGTTTTGGCTGCCCTGGCCTCCTTCCTCAAACTTGGCAAGCATTTTCCTGCCTCAGGACTTTTGTTCTGTCTTTCCCTCAGAGGGGCTTCTGAACCACTCAAGCTAAAGTTCCCCCCTCACACCTACTTATCTTTTTCCTTCATAGTGTTTGTTTACTTGTTTACCTGTGTGTTATTTTTTATCACTTTAGAAGGTGAGTTTTACAAGGAACTGGTATCTGTCTTGCTCATACCACATCCTCAGCATCTAGCACACTGTCTCATGGTGAGTGATGAAAAGCTATGAACTGAATAAATGTGAATAAAGATAGGGGAAAGGAACCAGAGAGTGAAAAGACAGCTGAAAAGCTAAATGAAGGCCTCATTTCCTGGAAGATAGCTTCACAGAAACCTAGAATCATCTTGTCTAACCTGTGAAAAGCTAAGACTCATAAAGCAGAAGTAACTAGTGTGAACTCTAATACTTTGGCCACCTGATGCGAACCTACTCATTGGAAAAGACCCTGATGCTGGGAAAGACTGAAGGCGGGAGAAGGGGACGACAAAGGATGAGATGGTTGGATGGCATCACCAACACAACGGACATGAGTTTGAGTGGGCTCCAGGAGTTGGTGACAGACAGACAGGGAAGCCTGGTGTGCTGCAGCCCATGGGGTCACAGAGTCGGACATGACTGAGCAACTGAACTGAACCGAACTAGCATGACACCACTCAAGACAGTCATTACTGTGGACTTTCAGTCCACTGAGGTCAAATGCCACAGACCTCTCTGACAGACAGAAGAGGCCCAGAAAAGGTCACAGCCACCTCCCTGAGGCCACCACTGTATGTCTGCAGCTGCCACCACTCCATGCCTCAGGGGAGGAGACTGACTCTTTGACAGCAGAGGTGCCAGTCAGCTGAAGAGCTGTGAAAGGAGAGCTGGAGAAGGTGGGGAGGCCCATCCCCTGGGTCAAGCAGCTATTCTGAGGCAGCTCAGGGATAAAAACAGGTACCAAAATAACCCAGCCTTCTCGCCCTTGTTCCAGACCTCACAGCTCTGCCCCACCAAAGGTGAGGCTAACACCTGAATTCCTCGCAGTAACACACACACCAGCTTTCAGCAGGGCCTGCAGGGAACAGGGTGGCCATCAGACTCAGCCCTGTCCACTGGGAGGTCACAGTCTGATGGAAGAAGCAGGCCAGGGACGGTGAAGGACAGGGAGGCCTGGGGGACTGCAGTCCATGGGGTCGCACAGTAGGACACAACTTAGCAACTGAACAACAACAAAGGGAGGGAAGAACCCCAGAGGAAAGGATCCCTGGATTGGTTCAATGGACATACCGAAGTTAGCCAGTCCAGGAGGTGACAGTAACAGAAGTAATTGCCATTGCAAAGGGAGGGAGGCAACACAGAAAGATCCAGTAACAGTCTGCAGTTTTAGTGGGTGGGAGCCTCGGGAAATTTTAATGAGAGCGGCAGAAGAGGCGGCTTGAGACGGGCGGGGGGCGGGGGTGAGAGAGGATGGCGACAGTGTCCAAATTATGCAGAAACTCCGATGTTAACAGAAGAGCTTGCGCTCTTTTTGGTGCACAAAGTAAAGTCTTGGGAGATGTTCAACCAAGAGGACGTCATAATCAGTTTTGCGCAATAGAAAGTCTCCTATACCTGCCTTGGGGCGGTTGCCCGGGAAAGTGGGGTGGAGAGGCAGATCGAAGAGACAAAATACTTTATTCTGGCTAGGACTCCTGATGAGCAGAAACTGGGTTTAAGTCTCCAAAGGGCTAGTACCGTCACTTCTCGACTCCTGCGCCACCCCACTCCTGGGGCCCAACTTTCGTTTACTTGTTCCGGAACTTGAAGTGTGAGCAGAAAAAAACGTGCTGCTGCAACCCCGACCCTAGACGAGGGACCAGTGAACGAGACTTCAACTCCCAAAATGCTTCGCTCTCCAGCTCTGCAGGTCGCGCATGCTTCTTTTCACGAAAGGCGGACCGGCTTGCAGACTGTAGGACTTGCCAACTGGATGAAATGCGGGAAACCTAGGGACCGCCATCTTACCTTAGGTCGAACCAATTGTACACTTAGGGGGAGGTTCGTGTTCTCTCTCTCGTCAGCTCGCAAAGGTACTGAAATAAAGTTCGCTTAATTATTTCAAGTCTCCTTATTATGATTTACGATAAGAACGCCTTCCATTTTGCGCCGCAGTTCAAAACTGAACCCCTAGGGATTCAATGAGACATCCCAGCATGGCCGCACTCTGCGAGACTCTGCTGGGGGAGGAGTCGGAAGCGGTCCCTCCCCGCCTCCCGGTCGGAGGGGGGCTTCCGCTTCCGGCAGCGACGGCTGCAGCCTCGCTCTGGTCCCTGCGGCTGGCGGCCGAGCCGTGTGTCTCCTCCTCCGCCGCCGCCATATTGTCTGTGTGAGGAGAGGGGAGAGCGGCCGCCGCCGCTGCCGCTTCCACCCCAGGTACTGTGGGAGCTGCCAAGCGAGGTCGTTGGGGGGTGCGGGTGGGCCCAGGCGGGGCAGCTGGGCACGGCTGCCTCTCACGCCTCCAGCAGACTCCCGAGCGGCCCTTCGTCTTCCCCTGCCCCCCCACCCCCCACACTCACCAGCCGAGGCCCCTGCAGCTCTTCGGAGAGGCCTGGGGCCACACCCCAGGGCGGGGAGGGAGGCTTTGGGGGCAGAGGCTGATGTGAGGATGGGAGCTGGCTCTCGAGTCCAGCTTATGACCGGGGAGAGGGTTGGACTGGGGCGGGGACTAGGGGGCAACTTGGAGAAGGGGGTCGCCAGAGGGGGAAGGGAGCTTGAGGGGTGGGGCCGCAGGGGGGGATGCTAGGGGAGGGTGACTAGGGGAGTGATGCCCTCAGTGTAGGCTGGGGTGGACCTTCCAGGGGAGCAGAGCTACTGGAGTGGAGGCCTCCTAAGGTCCCTCTGGGCGAGGCAGGGCTTCCCACCTGCACACTGGGGTGTAAGGTGGAGGCGACCCGGGGCGAGGTCATTGAGGATAAAGAGGAAGGGAACCTAGAAGTGGGACAGAACGGGTGGGGTTGGAGTTAAGGGTTAGTTGGGACCTTGGGTGGAAGAGGAGAGGTACACAGAATGAAAGATTGGCTGAGTTTATATGTTAGTTTGTGACCTTTGAAGAGTAGGACTTTTATTTTTGTTTTTCGGTTGTTGTGTTTTTGTTTTTGCAGCGTTGGAACATTTCTTGCCTTGGCAGGTGATGGGTGGAGCTTATGTAGTTTGTTTTTGGGAAGCAAAGTCGAGGTCAGGAGAAGTTGCTTCTTGGCTATTGCTGTTGTGAGAAGGAAAGAGTTCTGGCAGGGAGGTGGCAAATTAATTGGGGAGGCCTGATTACCTTTTCAACTGCTAAATTCTATGAGAAGTGGGCGTGTGGAGAGGAAATGAAAAGAAAGCTAGAAAGGGAAGATTTTTTTCTAAGAGTTGGATCCGAGTCCATTCCATCTAAGAAGTGGCAGTACATCTCTGGATTCCCAGTTAGAAATGCCACTGCTGTTTCCCTGTGTGACCGAACTTCTGTAAATCTGTTTTTCTGTCTGTAAAATGGGGATGAAAATATTTCTTAGAGGATAAGCTTGTGGTGAGTGAAGAAGATAATTTGTGTCAAGTGCTTACTACAGTGCCTGGCAGGTTCTAAGTGCTCGATAGACCTTACGTGTCGCTTTTCTTAAAGGGCCTACTTGGTATTTTTGGGGTTCCGCCAATCTAGGTAAAGTGTATGGTCAATAATCTGACAGTAGGCAAGGCTTCAGAATATTATATTTGTAGTCGTCGTAGTGTTTTTTCTAAGTCACTTGGCGGGCCTTCAGCTGAAAGACCAGGACTAGTGTTAGTTCTCCCTCGTGTTTTTTTTTAAAGTTCACCTGCAGTTTTACCTAGACAGGTTTGTCCTTCTGTGACTTTGAAATACTTGACTTTCATTTGCTGTTGGAGGAGGGTGTGTGACTTGAAGAAAGAATGAAAATATTTCAAGTTTGCTTAGATCAGTTTTATCAACTGATTACAACATTAGGTCACCCTGGGGTAACTTTTTTAAAAAAGCAAAACCCAAATATGTCTAGTTATATCCAAAGGGCGAGTTTCTACCTAGTGTGTTAATTGCATAACTGTTTAGGGATAAAATTAATGTATTTTTAATCTCTTTTGCATAGCCAGTCTCTTCCAGGGTGATTCCTTGGTTTTACTGTTGTCTCTGTCTCTGAACATACACCTTTAATTCGCACACTCTTGGAGAAGGAAATTTTCTTTGGGGACTGAGTTTAAAGCTTTACTTTAGGGTTTGGAGTTGTAGTAGGCAGAATGACCACCACCACCACCCTCAAGACGTCCAAACTCTTAATTCCGGGATCTGTAAATATGTTACGTGGTAAAAGGCCTTTGCAGATGCTATTAGGGTTAAACATCTTAGAACAGGGAGATTATCCTGGATTTTGTGGGTAGGCCCAATCTAATCACATGCGCCCTTAAAAGCAGAGAACTTTCTCCAGCTGGGAGTCAAGAGAGATGGGGCAGAAGAGGAAATCAGAGAGAATTGAATCGTGAGAGGGATTCCATTTGCTGTTGCTAGAGGGGGCCACATGGAAAGCATGAGAAGGAATGCAGGGAGCCTCTAGTAACAAAGACCAGCCCCGGCTGACAGCCAAGAAGGAAATGGAGACCACAGTCCTACAACCACGAGGAACTGAAGTTGGCCAACAACCTGAATGAGCTTGAGAGTGGATTCTTCCCCAGTTTCCAGCAAGGATAACACCTTGATTTTGACCTTGTGAAACCCTGAACAGAAGACCTACCCAAGCCACCTAACTTCCGACATACAGAAACTACGAGATAATAAATTTCTGTTGGTTTAAGCCACTATGTGTGTGGTTTTGTTACGGCAGCAGTAGAACACTAGTATAAATTTTTGTACCAGAAATGGGGTAGTATTACCTAAAAATGTGAAAGTGGCAGTAGAAGAGGCCAACAGTTTTTTGAGGAGGAGCATGAGATAGAAAAGGCCTAGAAACAGATTGTTGGTAGAAGTAATGAGGACTCAAGTGGAAGTGAGGTATACATTAGAAACTGGAGAAAAGAGGATCTTTTTACATAGTGGCAAATAAATTTAGAATTGTGTCCTGAGGTCATGTGGAAAAGAAAACTTATAAGTGATGAACTTGGATGTTTAGCTGAGGAGATTTCCAAGTGAAGTATTGGTTTATTTGTAGATGTGGGTTTAACGGTGAGCTCCTGTGAAATTCACGTGAAGCCCTGTAAGTTCTTGAGCATTTTATACTAGCAGAAACAATGTCCGCTTGATTGAAAAACATAGAGTTTGAAATTAAAGGGGGCTCTCAACCCTTCCTCTCCCCCAGATTTTTTTTTTACTAGTAAGAAGCAGGCTGGTAAAACTCGAGATATGAATGTGTTTCTTTTCTTTTAAAAAAGAGTGACTTAGAGGGTGGAACCAAGAGCCCAAAGATGTGGAACTGAGGGTTACAGAAGAGATTTCCCTGGCTTTGAAATGTAATGGAGTTTGCCCACATTTTGAAACTGATTTGGACCAGTGGATCCACTTTCCCTTATATTTTGCCTGCTTTCTTTTATAGTTATATTCCCTGTTTGAACTGGAATGTTTTTGACTATTGCCTTATGCCTGTCTCACCATTACAGATTGGGAGCAGATAACTAGTTGTCTTTTTTTGTGTTTTTTAAGAAATTGTGCTCCAGGGGGTTGCACTTAGTGTATTATACCCAGAGCTTCATCCACACCTGCTTTAGATGGTGAGATTTGGGAGTTTTAAATCGATGAACTTTAGATGAGATTTTTGGACTTGGAGTTGATGTTTAGTGAAATGAGACCTTATTATGAATTGGATGGTTTTTGCATTTGGTAGAGGTATCAGTCTTTGGAGGACATTAGGGTGGACTCTTCCAAAGATCCTCTGGAATCTGAGTTTGTTACTGTTTTGTGGCAAAGGGGACTTTTCAGATATAACTGTGGTTTAAGAATTCTAACATAGAATGGTTATCCTGGATTTTCTGGGTAAGTAGGTCCAGTCTGTTCACATGAAAGCAGACAGCTTTATCCAGCTAGAGTTAGATTTGAAGCATGAGAGGGACTCAACCTGCCATTCCTGGAGGGGGCCACGTGGTAAGCACAAGAAGGAATGCCATCAGCACCAGCTGACAACCAACAAGGAAATAGGGACCTTAGTCCTGTGCCCACAAGGAACCTTCTTTCAGCCAACAATCTGAATGAGCTTGAAAGCAGATTCCCTACCTCAGAATTTCCACCAAGGAACATAGCCCTACAGACACCATGATTTTTGGCCTTGCATGACCCTAAATAGAGAATCCAGCCAACCCTACGTCACTTCTAGCCTATAGAAGCTGTGAGATAATAAATTGTGTTGTTTTATGTTTGTGGTAGTTTGTTCCAGCGACAATAGGAAACTAATTAGAAAATTTTTTAAAGAAAACTAATTAGAGGGGTTTTGCTTACTTTATTTTAGAATCTTTCAGGGATTATTTTCTAGAGAACAAAGACAGCAGAGATTATTCTGTAAAGTGGGTATTTGGTCCTGGAAGACCTCACAGAATAATGGTGTTAAGTGGAACCTAGGCTTCTTCCTAGATGTGTAAGCATGTTTCATTAGATGAAGTTTGAAGGGGCTAGATGAACAGCTTGGTAAAACATAGATTCTAGAGTGCTAGGCCATTTTGGTAGAATTTCTATAAATTGGTGATTCTTCCATTCCTGTAATGAGCATCCTGGATAATTCCTTCATCTTTATTAGCAGAATAAAGCATTGAGTTTATTTGACAGTCCTTTAAAGACTTGCTGTTTTTTTTAGAAGAGCTGAAAATGGGTGATTATTTTTTAGGAATTGATAACCGCCTATATACAGTAATCTGTTCTTTCACACTTCCCACCCCAACCCAAAATTGTTACAAGGTCTTTCTCCCTGTCATTGCCCCCCCCCCCCCTTTTTTTTTCTGGCTGAGCTGGATTTTTGTTGTTGCATGGACTTTCTCTAGTTGCGGTACACAAGCTTCTCATTGTGGTGACTTCTCCTGTAGCAGAGGACGGGCTCAGTTCCCCACAGCATATGGAATCTTCCCGGATCAGGGATCAAACCCATGTCCCCTGCATTGGCAGGCAGGTTCTCAACCATTGGACCACCGGGGAAGTCCAGTCATTGTCATTGGTCACTTGAGGTTAAGAATAAGATTTGGGGACTTGCCTGGTAGTACAGTGTATAGGAGTATGCCTGCCAGTAAAGGGGACACAGGCTCGATCCCTGGTCTGGAAAGATTCCACGTGCCACAGAGCAACTAAGTCTAGGCACCATGACTGCTGAGCCCGCAGCATGCTGCAACTACCAAAGTAAGTGCGCCTAGACCCTGTGCTCCCCAACAAGAGAAGGGATTGCAATGAACAGCCTGCGCTCGTGTCTACTAGAGAAAGCCCTTGCACAGCAATGAAGACCCATAGCAGCCATAAATAAGATTTGGGTATATGTGTGTAACTAAATCACTTTGCTGTGCACCTGAAACTATTGTAGCAGCATAAAGCAACTATTAATTTCTAGAAGAGCCAATACAGTTTAAAAAAAGAAGACGATTTTGGAATCATAATTGCAGAAAAGACTTCTGACTTTTAAGAAAGGCCTTTTTGTTGTTTATCAGTATGTTTCTGATTAGATATATAAGATGTGGACTCTCAACTTTAGTGAAGGGAACTTCAGAGCATGGAGGAAATTTGTCTTTGAGTTACCTGAATAGAAAGATGATTGCAAAATTAGAGCATTGCAGGATATGAAGGACTTTTGTGATTATCTGTTTGACTTTTAGGTTTAGAGTAAAGGAAATTGGGCCACCTGAAGGTTAAGTGACTAAACCAGGTATCTCACTTCTACAGCTGGCCTAGAATCCTCGTCCAGGCAGTGGGGATTCGTGGCTTTAAGAATATATTCTCTGTGTACCTCGATCCTGTCCT